TTCCTGTCAGATGGAGCAAAGGTCCGGTTCTGGTCGGAGTTTCAGATTGTCAATAGCTTATCAGAGCAAGCAAAGAGAACCGCTCTGGGTTCTGGTTCTGGACTCACACTCATGCTGCTCATAGGGCGGGTAGTTGAGCCGCACGGTGATGAGGATGAAGAAGATGAAGAGCGGCCAGATGATCTCCACCAACAGCTGGAGCTGAAATACACACACACACACACACACACACACACACACACACACACACACACACACACACACACACACACACACACACACATTTAATGGATGGATCTGGAGACAAACCGGATCAGAACCACGATGGAAGAAAAGAACTCAGAATCAACCAATCAGAGAGCAGCTCAACGCCAGGTGGAAGATCAAGGAAACCATCTTTAATAAGATGGACAACAGCAGGAAGTCAACGACCAGAGCAGGAAGTCAACAACCAGAGCAGGAAGTGAACGACCAGAACAGGAAGTCAACGACCAGAGCAGGAAGTGACAGAGCAGGAAGTCAACGACCAGAGCAGGAAGTCAACGACCAGAGCAGGAAGTCAACGACCAGAACAGGAAGTCAACGGCCAGAGCAGGAAGTGACAGAGCAGAAAGTGAATGTCCAGAGCAGGAAGTCAACAACCAGAGCAGGAAGTCAACAACCAGAGCAGGAAGTCAACGACCAGAGCAGGAAGTCAACAACCAGAGCAGGAAGTCAACGACCAGAGCAGGAAGTGAACGGCCAGAGCAGGAAGTGAATGTCCAGAGCAGGAAGTGAATGTCCAGAACAGGAAGTGAATGACCAGAGCAGGAAGTGAATGACCAGAGCAGGAAATGAATGACCAGAGCAGGAAGTCAACGACCAGAGCAGGAAGTTAACGACCAGAGCAGGAAGTGACAGAGCAGGAAGTCAACGACCAGAGCAGGAAATGAATGACCAGAGCAGGAAGTCAACGACCATAGCAGGAAGTCAACGACCAGAGCAGGAAGTCAACAACCAGAGCAGGAAGTCAACAACCAGAGCAGGAAGTTAACGACCAGAGCAGGAAGTGACAGAGCAGGAAGTCAACGACCAGAGCAGGAAATGAATGACCAGAGCAGGAAGTCAACGACCAGAGCAGGAAGTTAACGACCAGAGCAGGAAGTGACAGAGCAGGAAGTCAACGACCAGAGCAGGAAATGAATGACCAGAGCAGGAAGTCAACGACCATAGCAGGAAGTCAACGACCAGAGCAGGAAGTCAACAACCAGAGCAGGAAGTCAACAACCAGAGCAGGAAGTCAACGACCAGAGCAGGAAATGAATGACCAGAGCAGGAAGTGAGGCGTCCTGACCGTCTGTCGGCGTCTGTAGGTGAAGTTCTTCCACAGCAGCAGGCCCAGCTGTGTGAACACGGACATGTCTGCAGCCGCCGCCGTGCAGGACTGCTGGCCGGCTGCCTTCCGCTCTGAGTTAAACACAAGCAGGGAGAGACGGTGGGGTTAAAGGTCAGCTGATAGTGAAGCTGCTGATCACACACACACTTATCAGATCACACAGCGTCAGCACTGATCAGTGAATCACACTGCAGCTGTGAGATCACACATGGGAACAGCATCCAGAAGGTACCGGTACCACTCAGGATCACCTTCTCAGTGGAACCAGAACATCATCCTGATAACCTCCATGGCAAAAGTTCAGAATGAGGTTTAGAAAAAGCTAAAGAGCTGTAAAAATGACCTTTGACCCAAGAAACCATCAGCTTCTTCAGTACTTTGTTTCTAAAACAGGATATAAACTGGACTGAGTGAACGGAACACAGAAGAAGAAATGGTGGGGAGTTAAATGAACCAGAACCTGCAGGATGGTCTGAATGTCGTCACTCCCTCCCTGGTCGAGGTGCAGTTACTTCTGGCTGCCAGCAGGGGGCCAACGCTAACTTCCTACACGGGGAACGGTCTGACCAGGAGAGCAACCCGACCCACTGGTGGACATGGACCCTTCAAGTCCAGACGGGTCGCCAACACTGGTTCTGCTGGTCACGTTGGGCAGAGACCGTGGTCGTCAGTTTCCTAGCAGTCCAGAACCGAGCCGCCTGGACTTGAAGGAAACAGGAAACATTCGAGTCCACTTTGATGATCGGGTCACTGAAGGAATCCGCAGAATCTTTAGAGGATCAAGAGAACGTCGGACATTCCAAAGCTGAGCCTGAAAGGGTTCTGGTTCTGATCCACTTCAAAGAGGGCCAGGCTCTGATCAAATCAGTCACAGTAAGGGAGTTACTGACTCAACCAGAACCAGAACCAGAACCACCTACTCCCCTGCTTTTTACACACTATTTAGTTTATTTTATTTTGAAAATGTATAAATGTGATGCTTGATCCTGACCCGGATCGCAGTAAAGGTTCTGGTTCAGCAGTTTGGATCAAAACCTCCAAACTGTCATGATGCCTGCTTCGTCTCAGGACCGTTTTCTGGTTCTGTTCTGCTGGATCCTCCAGAACCAAGGGGGTCCAAACAAC